TTTGTTTATGCTCATGTAAAAATGTCTGGATTTTGTATTGTCTTTTTAAATGATAAAAAAAAAAAATATTGGTGTTCTTAAAGTTGACTATTTTGAGTTCTTTACATGTATACAGAAAATGGAAGATAGATGACAAGCACAAGAAATATGAAGAAGTATCCACAATGCTGTAGCGTGCATAAATATTAAGTCACCTATAGCTAAACTTGTTACTTCATTAGTTCAGAATATTTTATTAATATTTTGGCCTTAATCTTTTTACCTAGATTTATATTACCAGGAATAATTACCAATATTTATCTAATTATTTGTCAAACTAATATTAAATATGACTTTAATTTATATCATTAATCATTACAATTTGATTTGATGCTCAAGAAACATTTGTTGAACAGAGTTGTGCTGCTTCATATTTTGTGTGGAAATTGTGATACATTTTATTTTTCAGGATTCTTAAATAGAAAGTTCAATGAACAGCATTTATTTGCATTTCTGAAATATATTTATTACATTTATTAAAACATTTATAGATCGACGCACGCACCGCCTGGCCCTAAGTTAACTTCCAGTCTGTCTGTTTATTGGTCTGGCTAACCTTAGTGTCTAGTAATATGGCACCGACTACACACGCAGTTAAGGTGATGAGTAGACTGAAGTTTGTGCGCAGGTTGTTGTGCTATGGGATGCAACACAGTGTTTCCCATACATTGATTTTTTTCTGGCAACCCGCCACAATATCAAAACTGACCGTCACAAATATAGTTTCCAAAAGGCTTTGACTTCGTTGAATAACGTGAGCACTGCACGTTTCAAAGTCAAAACGAGGATCGGGTGTTTTTTATATCATTGTATCTCTGACTGTCTTTATAAAATTGTCGATGTCCTTTATAATTTCATCATGCCTGTAATGCCTGATAAAGCAGCGTTTGTGATCGCAGTGCTGCTTTGTGTACAGCCCTTACCGGGGAAACCTCTATTTCTGGATCACCGCTGTGCGAAGAGAGGCTTGGCAGCCAGGTAAGACATGGTTTTAACCAGCTAGCTAATGTAATTTACTTATTTATTTTGCTTGTTATCAGAAATAATCCACTCTAGAGGGACTCTCTTGTTATTGATTCTTTGCGGAAGTCTACTGGAAGTTAAGTTTAGGTCACGAAAGCGCGCGTGCGCAGTTACGTTTGTTTATGTTGTTGCTGTTGAAACGGTCTATTAAATAGAAATCCTTTGTAACATTTTAAATGTCTCCACTCTTCACTCACTTTTCATCACTTTAACGTATGAATAAAATTATTAATTTCTCTCTCTTTTTTAAATCTTACCACAAATGTTTGAGTGGTATCATTGTTTCCACAAAAACGTTAAGCAGCATAAACTGTTTTTAACATTGACGATAATAAATAGTAAATGTTTCTTGAGCAGCAAATCAGCATAAAATGATTTCGTAAGGATCTGAAACTTCTCTTTGTAAACAACAACAGATTTATAAATGATTTCTAGTGACGAATGTTGCGTTCCCAAATGCAAATTAAAGCTACTCAAATGCAGCTAGCATTTACAGTGAATCGACACTGAAAACACAGTACTGTTACAGACTATAGCCTACATTTATATAATTACATCACAGCCGTTGCGAATTTGATCATAGTACTACTAAGCAATCTCAAATTCTCACCACCATTCATACAAAGTAAGCTGGCAAGTAACATTTGAACCCTTTTATCTGTGCTGCAGATGGTGCTGCGAGCTCGTTCAGCTAAATCTGGAAGAATCACATCCCTGTGACGTGTACTTAAAGGGATAGTTCACCCAAAAATGAAAATGTAATGTTTATCTGCTTACCCCCAGGGCATCCAAGCTGTAGGTGACTTTGTTTCTTCAGTAGAACACATTTGATGATTTTTAAGTCCAGCCGTTGCAGTCTGTCAGTCGTATAATGCATAGCAATGGTAACAAAATCTATGAGAGTAAAAAAAACATGCACAGACAAATCCAAATTAAACCCTGCGGCTCGTGACGACACATTGATGTCCTAAGACACGAAACGATCAGTTTGTGCCAGAAACCGAACAGTATTTATTTCATTTTTTACCTCTAATACAGCACTATGTCCAACTGTCTTTAAGCGCGTGCAGGCATCCGGTGCGTGAGGTGTGTACGCGCTCTGGCGTAGTTTACGCAAGCGCCGGAAGTGATCTCTCACATGTATACGTCACTCATTGTTTAGACAGTGCACAGTCATTGTAGGTACGACGGCTAATCAAAATGGTACTTTTTTTTTCGCTTATCCGGATTGTTCAAACCGACTTAAAACTAAAAGATTACTTTCTCTCGCGCAAACTCATTCGGGAGTGGTGACTTTCCACGTATCCCCAACTTCTGAGCCTGCTCGCCTGAAGTTATGGTTGATTGCTCTTCGGCTTGATATCAACACACGCCAGAGCGCGTACACACCTCACGCACCGGATGCCGTGCGTGCGCCCAAAGACAGTTGGACATAGTGCTGTAAAAATGAGGTAAAAAATGATATAAATACTGTTCGGGTTCTGGCACAAACCGATCGTTTCGTGTCTTAGGACATCAATGTGTCGTCACGAGCCGCAGGGTTTAATTTGGATTTGTCTGTGCATGTTTTTTTTACTCTCATTAGGCCCTTTCGCACTGCTTTAGTTCCAGAACTAAATGTACGGTACTAAAGTACTGGGACGATTTTGCGCAAACTATTTTCCAGTACCATTTAAAGGGTTGCATTCGCACCGACAGTGTGTACTAAGAAGTGACGTAAGCCGGTCGACAGCGTCTCATTTGTGTGCAGCGTTCAACAATGAAAACAAAGAAAAACATTAACAACAGGAGGATGGAGGATGCTGTGATCGGAGCTGTTTTTGTTGTGTCTCGCGGGTTTCACAATAATGGACATGGAAAGTCGACGTATACGTAAAGCGATTGAAAGAACGGAATAGAGGACTAAGAATCTCCAACGACAGCCGGCAGTGCTACATTTGCTACAAGTGCCTGCACTTCAGTGTCCGTCCATCTATCGCTGTTCTCCGTATTTGCGAAATAAGTTGACACAATGTTTACAGTATGTTTACGCGGCGTTTTAAATCATGGCGGGTGAGGGCGTTTTCGTACGCGTTTGGCCAATCAATGTCTACTTACGTCACGATTAGTACCAGTTGTGCTGGTTAGACCCTGCTCCGGAGTAGGAGCTAATTTGGTTCTCGAAAAAGGCAGTCCGGTACTAAAATCGCTCCCAGTTCCGGCGGTGCGAAAACGCCGAAAAGTGGGTAGTACCACAATTAGTTCTGGTACTATGAAAAGGTTCCTGCGGTGCGAAAGGCCCTATAGATTTTGTTACCATTGCCATGCATTATATGACTGAAAGACTGCAACGGTTAAAGTTAAAAATCATCAAATGTGTTCTACTGAAGAAACAAAGTCACCTACATCTTGGATGCCCTGGGGGTACGCAGATAAACATCAAATTTTCATTTTTGGGTGAACTATCCCTTTAAGTCAAAAGTAGTCATTACAACTACCTGTTTTAGTGTCACACTGGTAACTGGAACTCACATCATATTAATACATTAATTAAAAAAAAACGAAATTACAAATTTTGTTAGCTAATGAATGTATCTAGGCTGAACAACCACCATGTAGAACACAAGCAGAGAAAAGGCTAAGCTTAAAAAAAAATTTAAAAAAATAAAAAATAACTATTTGCCATCACCTACGCTACATCCTAGATTGTGGGGTGATTCTGCCTTTTGCCTTTGGAAACAACTCTAAATTATTACAATGCTTTAAAAAATGTCAAAATTAAGGTGAGTTATACTGTAAATTTTATTGAAATGTTAATCGACTTAGCCTTTCATCACTGTATAGAATACTATAAAATAGCATCATTTCTGCCTCATTCTCTGATATGAAAACAGTTAACAAAATGAAGTTATTTCAAACATTCGACTGATGCTGCTAAGTGAATTTGGACTAAATTTTTGTTTGACAACAATCACGCGTCGCGTCCTACTGTGGTACATTAATTTGTTTCTCACATATGTACAGCCCTGAGAATGTGTCTAATTTATCAGTAATGTCGATATCGCTGACTCCCCCCGTTTCATCCATAACTTTAACCATTCTTCTTCCTCCTGGTAGCTTCGTAGACTAGCCTACATCTGTGGTGCTTGATATAGCCAGGAAATATTAAACCATCTGTACTTTGTTACTTCCTATCTCTGTATTTTATAATGGTTTATAAATTCACCTTTTATAAGGTCGTTGCAAACTCATCAGCCGTGCTTATCTAATATAGCCTAGCATAGCCTCCAGGGACTTATTACTCTTAAAAATTATTCATAAAAAAGTAACTAGAGTGAAATATTGAGGACATAAATTTATACATCGTTTTTACTAAGCAAATTCATGAAGAAAAGGTCATCCAAAAATGATAACTACTTACCTTTCTGTCATATCAAACTATGACATTCTTCCGTTACAATCACTTCGCCTCCTTCGCACGTCATCCATGTTAATATTAAATCAACTACTCAATTTTAGAACAATAAGCATATAAGCAAATAAGTTTTTTTGTAGAAAACTAGAATTGAACTGCAGGGGCGCAAAGCGTCAAGTGTTTTTTCCCCGTGTATTTCGTGTTTTTTCGTTCCTAACCCTAAACGATGCAAAAATTGTAACGAAATACTTATATTAAATAATTATTTCTTTATTTTAAAAAAAAATGGGATTGAAATACTGAAACAACATTAAACAGCTAAACACTTTGCTTTTTTATTATGAGTTTGAGATAAAGCCACAGTTTATGGGTAAAGCACAGTAACATACTTTATCACAGATGGAATATCCATACAGTAAATATGGATTTTCTTGTAACATTAGTTACTTAATGCCAATTTTGTGCTGATTAAATTAAATAATTTTCTGGTCTGTTTATTTATTTTTTCATTTTATTTTATTAACAAAAGAAACGGAGTGTTGGTTCTCATTTTTATTTATACTTGGGGGGGGGGGACACGAAAACAAGCCATAAAAATATTATGCTGTAGTTTAACAAAGTATATAAATATAAAATATTAATTGTGTGCGTGCTTCTTTTGCTTCTTTTTCTTAAATAGTCTGAGTAGATAGTAAATAGCGTTCTGCTCATTTTAATGAAATACAGTGAAAAGAAATACGCTTCATTATGACTTTGAGACAGCTAGCTATATTGTGTCTTTCAGTTGAATATTTGTTTGTTTCATTGCTTCATGTGCAGATTTCTACACACATTCTGGAAGTTTTGGTTTCCATTCCCCGTCTGCGCCACAGGTGACAAAACTCTCTCCTAAAAGCCTTAAACCAGGATTGCAGGCGATTCTCACTGTGTTCCCATATTTATAGACCGCCCTAAAACCCCTCATTCTTGATCCACGTGGCACTTGTGGGTTAGGACAGACAATGTCTGAAAAGCACAGCAAATAATCTGTCAATTCATTCATGTATTCAAGTCTGACAATTAATTTGAGAGAATATACAAAATTAGATTTTGTGATATCAAAGGGACCACAGATGTGTGTGTGTGTATATATATATATATATATATATATATATATATATATAATCAAACAAGAAAATAATTTCTCCAAAGCGCTAAAAAAATGATGGGCCCTTTATGAATATATGGCCACAAAATCAACATTGTGCACAGTAGAAACTCAGATTTAACTTACCTTACCCTACCTGAAAAGCTCAAATATCTTGAAATAAACAACCTCAGTCGCATGGTCAATACTCAATGACCACATGCACTCTTTATATGTGTACCTTTGCACTCAGGAGGAGGAGCGCTCCAGGCGCCGTTCTTGGTGCAGTAAATCTCTCTTGCACCGATCAGAGCTCCAGTACGGCAGTGATAGGACAACACGTGACCGAAGGGAACATGGTCATATATGGGGTCAAACATCTCAGCATCCTTGACCTCTGGAGGTGGAGGACAGTGCACAGCTGCAAAAAAACACACATATATCATGTATCTATGAGACCGATGTAGTGTGCAGTGACCATGTACAGCAGGAAGCCAAATCCATAGGCATTTGGTTTGCAATATTGAAGCCAAGCTAAACAACACTAAAAAAGTCTCAGAAAACAGTCATACGTTCACACACAGGGCTCCTTTTATCCCAGCCTCCATCCCGGCAGATCCGCACTTTTGGGCCGGTCAGCTCATACCTAACAAGAGCAATTAAAAAGGATGGATGAATGTCTAATAACTAGGGCTGTCAATTTAACACATTCATCTAATGAATTAGTTATGGAAAAAATAACACATGTAGAGTTGTCTGCTCTCTGTAGCTCTCACAGTACATGTCAAACACTTGATTGGTCTGCGCAGCACCGCTTCAAGCCAATCACGCCTATACAAGTTGATTGGTGACAAACATGAAGCGGGGTGCAGTTATATGCCACTAAAATTTAAGATACAGGGGCAAAGATGCACATGTATGAGTTTTTGTATCATATTTATATCATATGATATAGTTAAATATCACACAAGCAATCACACGAGTGCTGTTTTTGTCCTGAATAGCACGAGTGCAAATGTGATATTGATTTTATACAACATTTCAATAAATAAGACCTTAATATTGTGTTATATTTTAAACACAATATTGTCTGTTTTTGCTCAGTTTTGCCAATGCAAATATTACCTATTAAAGCCACAGCAGAACTGTTGTGCATCTCCAAGCAACGCACAATTACTGAAGGAATCTTTCTGAACGAATCGTGTGAACCAATGTTTCAATGACCCATTCATTAAGAGAGCCGTTTACTTCATCCTTGAATGAATCAGCCGTTTGAACAAATCGAATGAATGAATGACTCAATGACTTATTCATAAAGATATTGATGATTTACAGCCACTTTTAACTAAATGTAAATATACACTCCGTATTTTTTATTCCATAGTAAGGGCAATTCATACAAAACATTTAAACTGAGCTACTTTAATACCATCTCCGAACTTTCTACCACAACTCTGCTGTTCTTCGGCTGGTTCTTCCTGTATACGTTGATTGACAGATGTCTCGTCCAGTCAGCGGTGAGTAATCCCAAACCAATGGCGCGGTCTCAAACTATACCTACCTTTTCCGGTTTGTCTGATTTGCTGTTGTGTTTTCTGACTTGTTAATTTGTTTTCGAATTTGTCATTGTGTTTTCTGACTTGTTATAATGTTTTGTGAATTGTTGTTGTGTTTTCTGAATTGTTATTTTGTTTTTTAGACTTGCATTTGCGTTTGTAATTTGTTCTTTTGTTTTCAGAATTGTGAGTTGTTCTGCACTTCTCGGCCACCGTACTTTCTGCATGCGATTCTCCGCTAAACTTCAGACTTTATAAAGTGAACGAGGGCGCCAAATTGAGCGCAATAACTCTGACACATTTTTACATTTTGCTAAAAAAAAAAAAAATTGTAGTTGGACAATAAATGTGCCATGTGTAGAATTTTAAACCTACAAGTAACTGTATTTTATGATAGCAGTAACTGTAAAGTGACTATTGTAATGGCGTAATCAAAATATAAAGCAATTATTCTCTGCTTTTGTTTTTATTTCTTTTCAGTTTAGTGAATTTAACTTCTGCTTTAAAAAGCATTATTTTAGTTTTTTTAGATTGTAATGTTAAAATGTAATGGGATTTTTGCCCCCCTTTTTTGCACATAATAGTCCATAGCCTGCATGGTTACTTTCACTATATTTGTTTTCATTGCCTGTAATATAAACATTGTTTCATTGGACAACATTGGGCAGGATGTTAAAAATAAATAAAGAAACAAATACATACATAGATTTTTAATCCAAATAGAAAAATGTAAATGATATATACTGTATATCGCAATTCAGCCAAAAAAATACTGATATGATTTTTTTTTTTCGTATCGCCCAGCCCTAAATATGACACCAGCATCTTGGCTCTGTTCCAAACACTAGTGAGCTGTCTTGCTGTCTACTCACTCCTAAAAATAGGGGGTTTGCACGGTGATCCCGTAGAAGAACCTTTTTTGGTTCTCCAAACCAAACGACTCCAGTCCATCAATTAGTATCTTGTGAAGTGAAAAGCTGCATGTTTGCAAAAAACAAATCCATCATTAGTGTGTTTTTAAAGGGGTCCAATTATGCTTTTTCACTTTTTCAGCTTTAGTTAGTCTGTAATGTTGCTGTTTGAGCATAAAAAAATCTGCAAAGTTACAAAGCTCAAAGTCCAATTCAAAAGGAGATATTTTATTTAACTTTTCAAAAACTACAACGAACGACTCGTTTGGACCACAACGCATATTTTCCGAGATTTGTGATATCACAAATACAGATGAATGGGACGAGACCTGGTCTAGAAAAGGCAACGAGTGTTATCACTATGTCGTAGACACACTAGCTTTCCCAAGACAGACAAACTTAGAGTGGTTACAATCATCCCGGTTTAAATCGCGCTCATATTGATTTTGATGCAATATTTACACTGAAGCTCACAGGCGGCTATGGTAAGGGGCGTGACATTTCCCAACCAGGCACCGAGTGCTGCCAATCACAACACACACTGGCCCAGCTAACCAATCACACCACACACTGGCCCAGCTAACCAATCACACCACACACTGGCCCAGCTAACCAATCACACCACACACTGGCCCAGCTAACCAATCACACCACACACTGGCCCAGCTAACCAATCACACCACACACTGGCCCAGCTAACCAATCACACCACACACTGGCCCAGCTAACCAATCACACCACACACTGGCCCAGCTAACCAATCACACCACACACTGGCCCAGCTAACCAATCACACCACACACTGGCCCAGCTAACCAATCACACCACACACTGGCCCAGCTAACCAATCACACCACACACTGGCCCAGCTAACCAATCACAACACCCACTCTCACTAGGGAGAGAGGTGTTGTAATAATGTAAAATATGTGAAAAATAATGTTTTTCGAACAACCTAGTATGAGAGCCTGTTCTAGTACACCCCCAAAACAAAATCAAGACTTTGTAAAAGAGCATAATAGGACCCCTTTAACTTGAGCTTGCTGTTTCCGGCTAAAATATGAGTCCTCTATCCATAATACTGCTTCTCTGAATCAGGAGAGAAATATGTACAGTCCAAAACAGCTCTAAACAAATATGTGGGCTTATTTTGATGTGAGAGACAACAGGAGATGGACCTTTTCACTGGAGGAAGCGTTATTATGGATTATGGACTCATATTTTAGCTGGAAGCAGTGGTTTGAAGTAAAAAAAAATTTTTTTTTAAAGTCCTTGATGGATTTTTTTTTTTACAAACACGCAGCTTTTGGCTGTACAAGACATTAACTGATGGACTGGAGTGGTGTGGATTATTGTGATGTTTTTATCAGCTGTTTGGACTCTCATTCTGACGGCACCCATTCACTGCAGAGCATCCATTGGTGAGACACTGATGCAATGCTACATTTCTACAAATCTGATGAAGAAACAAACTCATCTACTGAATATCTAAAAACAGAACTGGGAATGCACGAGTATTATAACTGCTGCTGTATCTCACCCTTCTTGACAGATGGCTGTAGCTGAATCTCCAAATGACACGCCTGTGTACTCGTATTGGCCATAGGAGATCTCTCCAGCAGATCCGCACTTCTTCCCTTTTGATATAAACAAATAGTGATTCTTCATCAAAATGAAGTGACTTTAAACTTAAAACAAGACTAAATGTCTGCCAATAGGGTAAAAATTTTATTAATTTTTCCTCACCCCATTTCTTGTTTTAAGCAAAGTCACTCAATTTTTATAATTTTTTTCAGAAAACAAGACATTTTAATTCTAAAGTAAATGTGTCTTGATTTAAGAATGTTTAGATAATCTGAGGAAGAAAATCATTCTTTGCAAGCATTGCAAGAGCAAGAAAAATAATAAGTAAACTAAGTAACATAATAAAAATGAATAATGTGATAAATGACTATTTTATTAAATGGATTAATAAAATAATAAATAGTTATATAATAACAGAAAATAAAACAACAAATGTATGGTTACTCTCTTGAAGATACACACATACAGGCTGGTACTTTGAATCCTCAGATGGTTTAAAGGGGTCATATGATGCTATTTCATTTATTCCTTTCTCTTTGGAGTATACTACAACTTTGTGCTGTGGATCGCCGGATCGGCTTTCACCGTGGATCAAGACTTTGTAAAAGAGCATAATAGGACCCCTTTAACTTGAGCTTGCTGTTTCCGGCTAAAATATGAGTCCTCTATCCATAATACTGCTTCTCTGAATCAGGAGAGAAATATGTACAGTCCAAAACAGCTCTAAACAAATATGTGGGCTTATTTTGATGTGAGAGACAACAGGAGATGGACCTTTTCACTGGAGGAAGCGTTATTATGGATTATGGACTCATATTTTAGCTGGAAGCAGTGGTTTGAAGTAAAAAAAAATTTTTTTTTAAAGTCGATGGATTTTTTTTTTTACAAACACGCAGCTTTTGGCTGTACAAGACATTAACTGATGGACTGGAGTGGTGTGGATTATTGTGATGTTTTTATCAGCTGTTTGGACTCTCTTTCTGACGGCACCCATTCACTGCAGAGGATCCATTGCTGAGACACTGATGCAATGCTACATTTCTACAAATCTGATGAAGAAACAAACTCATCTACTGAATATCTAAAAACAGAACTGGGAATGCACGAGTATTATAACTGCTGCTGTATCTCACCCTTCTTGACAGATGGCTGTAGCTGAATCTCCAAATGACACGCCGGTGTACTCGTATTGGCCATAGGAGATCTCTCCAGCAGATCCGCACTTCTTCCCTTTTGATATAAACAAATAGTGATTCTTCCAACACAGCATCAAAATGAAGTGACTTTAAACTTAAAACAAGACTAAATGTCTGCCAATAGGGTAAAAATTTAATTAATTTTTCCTCACCCCATTTCTTGTTTTAAGCAAAGTCACTCAATTTTGATATGTGTGATGCTGTATTTCGTTGTGAAAGCGAAACTACTTTGTTTGGCCTTCCAAAAGAGGACACGACTAGAAATCAGTGGTTAAGTTGTATTTACAACACTGTTCCAGAACAGTTCAACCCAAATATTCAGATGTGTGCAGCACATTTTATGGAGGACTGTTTCCTGATCCTGGGAGAGTAGACTACAATGCTGGCTGTTCTGACTCACAGACTGTAATTATAAATTTAATTTTTAATTAAATTATATTTAAAGTTTTTATATTTTATATATTTAAAGCGAGTTTTTTTGGGCAGTGTAGAGTAGATGCAGACATGGTTTTATGTTTACGCGGCGGCGGGACATAGAGGAGAAACAATAATGTGCAGTATGTGGAAAATAATGTGTTTTTTTTTTTACCTTAAACCGCATAAACACATTTCATTACACCAAATACACAAAATAATGTTGTTTTTAGCAGCATCATACGACCCCTTTAATATAGAAAGTGGGAGCAAATTAAGTTAAAAGTCCTCTGGCGTACTTTCACATCGGAGCTGCAGGTTTGTCCACTGGCCATTCAGGCAGTGTATACTGGTGCTTCCTCTGGCCCGCACGTATCCTGTACTGCATTTGTAGCGAATGAGAGCACCGGATGGATACTCTTTCAGTGTGAAGGATCCGTCTCTGGGGAAAGCATGAGGGTTTGACGGAGCTGGACCACATTTACCTGTGAGAGAACCAAAATGCCATTTGTAGACATTTACTGTAGAATTCAGAATGGCACAATACTATACAACCTATTTATATAAAGTCGTATGAAGTTTCCAGTGTGAAGAACGAAGTGGAAGCTATTTTTTTTTAAATATAACAAATATAACAAAAAATATATAAAAATATATTTTTTTTATGAATGTTTATATTATAAAAATACATACGTAATATAATTTTTTAAATAATATTTTAACAGAGGATGTGTATATATATATATATATATATATATATATATATACTAGGGATGTAACGATTCACTCAACTCACAATTCAATTCGATTTACGAATTGAACTTTTTTTCAAAAGTTTAGGGACAAATATAGCAACTTCTTGGACAGACCTTATCTAAGTTCTCATTTTGCCCACTGATCTACATTCATCTTTATATAGAGAAGTGAATTTGCCATTATGATGTCATTAGTGACATTTAGCTACCAGTTTTAGCTACTTTCAAATGAAAACAGTTGGCAGCACTGCTTGCACTTTGAAGCCCGTTTTCAAAAATATGCGTTTTTAGTCCCCAAAACGACGTTGTCATGTAAACGAAGAGGCAAAACGCATAAAAAGTTTTCCGTTTATGGCTGAAAACGTTGTCGTGTAAACAGCCCCTTAATGTCAACCATTTCTTATTTCTAACCAAAACTCAATGTCTGTCCAACGGTGGAAGTTTTAATGTCAACCATTTCTTATTTCTAACCAAAACTCAATGTCTGTCCAACGGTGGAAGTTTTAATGTCAACCATTTCTTAATTCTAGCCAAAACTCAACATCTGTCCAACGGTGGAAGATTTAATGTCAACCATTTCTTATTTCTAACCAAAACTCAATGTCTGTCCAACGGTGGAAGTTTTAATGTCAACCATTTCTTAATTCTAGCCAAAACTCAACATCTGTCCAACGGTGGAAGATTTAATATCAACCATTTCTTAATTCTAACCAAAACTCAATATCTGTCCAATGGTGGAAGTTGATATAAATCCAACGCTGGGTTTTGACGCCAACCCGATTTTAATTTTGAATCAAAAGTCAACGTCTGTCCATTTTTTTCAAACCAAAATGCGACGTCTCTCCAACACTGAGTTTTGACATCAACCCAATTTTTATTTCCAACCAAAACTCAATGGAAGTTGATATAAATCCATCATTGGGTTTTTACATCAACGCGATTTTCATTTCAAATCAAAACTCAATGCCTGTCTAATGTTAGAAGTCTAAGTAAATCCAACATTGGGTTTTGGCATCAACTCAGTTTTCATTTCCAACCAAAATTCAACATCTGTCCAATGCTGGAATCCAACACATTTGTGGTTAAATTGACATCCGGTGCCAGTTGGGTAGAGTTAGTTAAGTTTAGCGCAAGAAACTGCTTTTAGTGAGCAGCATTCATGCTTTGTATCTCCTGAAATGCATCATTGGAGGAAGAAGTGGATTTGAAATCAGGTTCAGACTAAGTATTCAAACCAAGTGTGAAAACAACATAAATTACCTTTCGAGCGGCACGCAGGCAAGCCCTGCCATTGGCCGTCTGGTCCACATGTGACCTGTGGCGAGCCAGTCAGTACAAATCCCTCACTGCAGACAATGGTTGCAGTGTCTTGGGGTGTGTACTGTGTCCTTTCTCCAGGTTTTATCCATCTGTTTGCCACAGCAGGTGCTAAACACATGATCTTCGACACTAAACCAGAAGAAAATAAACAACTGATTGTGCCAAAATCATGACATCTGATTACAGGAATCAACCACAAGAGGGCGACATTAAGCTGCAGAGCCAGTTCTACAAATCTTGGAAAACCCACCTCTGATTTAGAGGGATTTACCGCCATACAATCCTCTTACATCTAATACATTAGTAAGTGTCTGTCGAAACGGCTCCTGCGTCACACTTTTTCAAAGTTTATGGTTTTTAGAAGATATAATTGTATTTTGATGAGAATGTGATTGTGACCCTTAGAAACATTGTAGTGTTTTAATAAAATTAAGGTAAATTTTTGTGATGATTTTAATATGACAAAGGGTTCAACTCACCCTCACAGATGGGGTCCGTCCCACTCCAACCGTTTTGCATACACATACGAACTCTTTCTCCTCTCAAAACATATCTGCATGAGAAAACAATTATATTAAGGAGCAAAAAGACATTAACATCATGAAATTGAAACATTATTGGCCTGCTTTAGTAAAACCATTTAGTAGAAGGAGATCTAGAACAATCTATGGATGCTGAACCAAGTCAAAAACATAAGCAACTTTCTACACTTATTCTACCTGCTCTATTTATTATCAATTAACAATGTTTTCACCAATTTATGGACTGCAGACATTTAAAAACAAAATGAAAATAAGGTTCAAATACCCTTTATTACACGTAGCAATGGCTTTATCGCCAAATGATTGTCCTTCTCGAATGTACTGCCCGTTCTCTACGTCACCTAGCGCATTGCACTTTTTCTCTGTGAGAGTAAATGAGAAAATATGAAAACGTGGAGTACAATGAATGAATAAAAGAGATATTTTAGAGACACAGATAAACAGATGCATCTTACTTTGGCATTTCAGGTTCAAGGCTGTCCAGTGTCCTCGCAGACACCGTGATGTTAGACTTCCTTCTGATGGTGTGTAACCCAGGGGACATGTATACACCACTCTTTCTCCATCATTGAACTTTAATTTATGGAGATAATTTTTGTGCAGCTGCTTGCCGGGATACTTTGTTGGTTCGTCACATCGAGTAGACAAATGAGACACTGAAACAGTTTCAAAGCACAGCTCAACAACAAAAATAAAAGTGAAAATGCAGTTGCCTCAACAGTTTTGTTAATTATTATGCATGTTGGTGGTCATACTAAAAATAGCATATGCTTGCTATTAAATCACTTAATTAGTTACCTATATAATGATACTGATAGTCTGTGTAAAGGTGAATAATCCATACCGAGTGTTTTGAATGTAAACTGTGCAGTAGTTAGATATTATGCAATTGTAAGACTCCAGGTGGAGGGAAATCTATTTTAAACCTGTGGTTAAGGGGAAAAAAATCTCTAAGGAATGCACAAGAAAACAACTCCACCTCGTAGCTTATTAATTTAATGTTTAACTTTATGCCTATGAATACACAGCATGCATTGATCTTCCAGTAGCACTGAATATTGCCAAAACGGCTTATACATAAATAGAAATAAAGGATTACTTGAATAGTCATCAGTTCAAATATAGAATATGTGTAAATACTGGCTGGAATAACGGTGCGGTGTATCAAATGCAGACGTGTCAAATCGAGCGTTTGATGGTTATATGGAGTTAGTTTGGTCGTGTAGACATTTAAAAGTTACTCACCAACGAAGTGCGCAAACACAAGTATGAGTATATTCCTCCAAACAAGCTCCATATTCACGGACAACTGCAGATGAACTGAAGGCATCTAACAGTTTCAACCCAAACAAATACTGTGTTAAAACCACACACACACACACACACACACACACTGTCGTCACGAGAGCTCAAACCCTGCCCTCATTTCAGTTTCAACTCGCAGCAGCTTTTCTACATCAGGTTTGCTTCTTGTAAAATAACAATAAACGACTGACTCGTTCAAATAATATCAACATTTAAGTCGAACAGAACGCAGGTCCATCGAGACGCCTTTATGACTCTCTTAACTAGCTTAGTGTTTATTATGTTACTAGTATATTGTTATATGTTACTATATGGTAACCACAAATGTGACACTGGAGCACAAAACCAGTCATCATTTTTTGAAATTGAGATTTAAACATCATAAGCTTTCCATTGATGTATGGTTTGTTAGGATAGGACAATATTGGGCTGAGATACAACTATTTGAAAATCTGGAATCTGAGGGTGCAAAAAAATCTAAATATTGAGAAAATCATCTTTAAAGTTGTCCAAATGAAGTTCTTAGCAATGCATATTACTAATCAAAAATTAAGTTTTAATATATTTACGATAGGAAATTTACTAAATATCTTCATGGAACATGATCTTTACTTAATATCCTAATGATTTTTGGCATAAAAGAAAAATCAATAATTCTGACCCATACAATGTATTTTTGGCTATTGCTACAAATATAGCCCAGCGACTTAACCTCCTGACTACCAGCTATGGAGTTGTGTCCACTGTAGAGGACATTATGTTTTAGCGATTTCTCTGAGACCTCACATGGCACAGTTTTAGGTCTGGGTGTCCTGTACGGAGCACATTCAGGGCTTTTCAGAAATACCAAATGATTGGATGTTACACCATGACCTCTCCCTCTCTATGGTCTTTAAAAAT